AGAAACATATTGTTCTAACTATTCTAATATTTTTAATATTTTTGTCATCCCATATTTTAGCTTCCCATTTTTGTGATGAACGTACAAAGACCGTAATACTAACTTGGATATATTAATTGAAAAAAAAGATGGCAAAGATTCGTTATTCAATGTCCTTATTTATTAAAGTTTGTGAGCAGTTAACAAATTAATATCGATTAATCACAAAATTAGCACCCAATTAGAACGTTGCTAAGATAAAGTTCAGATGTTACTTGGAAATGTTCTGTAACTGATCGTAATGAATAAATGTCATACTTAACAATGATTACTTAATAGTTTTTCGAAACATCGAAGATAAATAATTGATGATTTCTTCATGAATCGAATGATAACGATAATTTGACTCGTAAAACAATAAATGAACACTAATTTCTTTTGCGATTATCACTTAGAAGAGGGAATCGTTAATATTTTTATAAACATAATAAATAAAAAAGTCATTATAAATCGTAGTGCTTATTGTAAGTATCGAACAGGATCACTAAAAAGCGTATTGCCTAGTTGTAAGCATTAAGAAAAAGATCATTGAAGAGCTGCCGCCTATTAGTTAAAGTATCAACTATAGTGGTAACGAAAGTATCAGATAGTAAATAGTCAATCTGATTTTGTATCGAACGTAAAACTTTGAAAATGCATTACTTTACGTACAAACACCCGTAAATCTTATTTCACTTGAAAAATGATTACTAGAACCGTACAAGAGTGAAGACATTAATCATACGTTATGGCAATGTAAACTCTACAAATCTGAACAAGAAAAACTAAACAAGAAATGTTAATTACCAAACCTAACATTACAACCTGTTTACATGTTTTCTGTTTTCTCGAAAAATGTGACTCGCGCATCATGTTAAGTGCCAAAAATAAACCCCACAAAATTTCCGCAAAGTCTAAATAATTTGATTAATAAAACTGAAACTAGAAAGTTAAAATTTATCATAATGAATGATATTTTAACTATTTTTCATTCTAGTAAAATTCAATTTGTCCGAATATATTACAATTGAAATGAAATTTGATATCTAGTAAAAATTTAGTATCATTCATATGTGACGAAATATAATGCATATGCTCGTCTAGACATATAAATCTATTCTGAGATTTGCTGACTAAGTGAAAAAAAGTGTTTTCCGCAGCTTCTCAAGAAAATATCATAAAACGATTTGATTGGTAAAATAAAATAAAATAAAATGAAATAGAATGAAATAAAATATGCCTATAGAAAAGTGACAACACATAAAACACGTCACTACTAAAAAAAAACCAAGCTTCTTATAGAACTATTCCACTCATACCATAGCGATCCAACCTTAGGTATTATTATTTGGGAAACGCGCAACGGTCGGTTTCTACACAAAAAGCGGAAAAGTCAGTTTTAAGAAGTATCCTCATAATACATAATTTATTCACTAGTAGTCAATTAAACATGTGGCTTATTATTTACTATAATCTTTTTTACCATTTGTTCATCTCGGACACGACTACTACGGACTACTACTTGACTTCAAAGTAGCCCATCTCCAAATCATCTTCAATTTATATCATCATTTATAATTATT